CCCCCCCCGCCCACCTAAGGCGGCACCAGTCGCCCATAGGGGAATCCAGTATCGCATCGCCTCCAATCTAAGCGCAAGGCACCCCAAGATCGCATCGCCTTGAGCCTGGGCAGAACGAAGGCATCCAACATCGCATCGCCTCCCGCCTAGACTGAACGGGGCCAACCAGCATTGCATCGTATCCCACTAAACACAACGACTCAATCCCGCACCGCATCCCCTCCACCCTAAGCATAACGAGGGAATGCAGCATCGCATTGCCTCTGACCTAAGCACAAAGAGGCCATCCAACCCTAACCCTAACCCTAACCCCAGGCCATCCAACATCGCATCGACTCCCGCCTAAGCGCAACGAAGCAATACAGCCTCGCATCGCCTCCGAACTAAGCACATTGAGGCAAGTCAACATCGAATCGTGTCTGGCCGGAACCGGAGGTTAATCAGGGTTTAATCCTCATTAAATTAAATAGGTTTACAACATTAAAAAAATGTTTTTAGAGAGTCACCTCAGTGTTTGCAGATGCTACTGTGCTTTCCAGCAAATGAAGCATGCTGTACAAGTCCCCTTAGATTCCAGCAGGGGGAGCCGCGTACCAACCTACCCCCTGCTGTCTTCCCTGCGGAATTACAGCAGGGGTGCAGGTAAACCAGTTATACACCACGGATCCCGCCGCCCTCAGTCCTGAAAACCCACCCCAGCCTCATGCTAACCCTCCCATTAGCCCCCTCTGCCAAGCCCCAGACACCCTGAAACCAGGTAAACTTCCGCCTCTCCCTCATCCCCTCCCGTGCCCCCTGAACCCCACGAAAGGGCCCAAGTGAGGGTTCCCCATGGTTGCCCCGGGGTCATCACAACCTCAGCCCATCCACCACCAAACCCAAGGTAGGGGTGGGGTGGGACCTTTCCTCTTCCCCCACCCACAACCCTCCAATAATTAGATTCTATACATGTAGAATTACAACAAATTATAGAATGATAGGATGTTATAATTTTCTGTTATTGGAATCTACCTATTTAGGGTGGTCATCTTACATTTAAAAATATTTTTGATTCAGGTAAATATTGTTTTAATTTAAAAAATGACTCATCATTATCAATGTACACCGTTCCATCCAATAACAGAATGTAGAAGATAGATGAGAACAGATTCTGGCTTTACCATCTATGAATCCATGAAAATCCCAGTATTAGCACCAGTAATACTAGCAGTAGGCATTCGTCTGTCTTGCGAGACAACAGAATTATGCTGAGTGAGATATCAGCTTGCTGAAAGTAGTGCTTGAAAGATCAAAGTGAAGCACAAAACCCTGGGCAGTGTATACGGAGACACTGAGCTGCTCACACACCCCTTGCAGCCTTGCTGTTTTAATCCAAAGGAAAGGCAGGTGCCAAGATAGCAGGTGCCAGGAAAGGCAGGAACCAGCTTGGCCGCACGAGCTGCCGGAGCAAAGGAGATCATCCATTCATCCATCTATTGGAGCTCCACTTCTAGACTAGCTGCCAACCAGGCTTAAAGAATCCAGTCTACCCAGTCATAGAGTGGACTTCAGTTCCATATTTTTTTGGTGGCATTTCCTCTGTCAGGGATAAGACTAGTATCTGCCTCTAAGGTACTCTTCTGCACAAAGCCATTGGCACTCTAGAGGTTGCCAGGTTATTTAACTGCTAGCCAGCACTTGGCCATATCAGTCACAGGTAGTTCTATCTGCTGTAAGTTATGGTAGCAGGTGAACCTGACCTGTACAGTGTTCCCAATTCCTGAGAGTGAGGCTTTGTCATATATTTAACAATTTGTGTGTGCCCTTGCTGATGTCCTTATTGTTTCTGAGACATTTGTACAGCAACAACATGGCTTGGTGTGCTTACCTTCCTAAGAGCTCTGGAGAACTCTTCTTCAGTGTCTGGTGGATCTCCACACCCAACCTTTTTTAATTCTAAAATCCCATTGTGGTAATGCCAGTTCTCAGTTTCACCAAGTTTGTGGAAACATACAAAATGGTTGTCAGTATTGCACGTTACCCCAACTACCTTGTACCTGCAATGAGAACACCTTTATTTTAGCAAACTCATCAATTTGTGAATGTCTAATGTTTTATGTTGAATTAATCAGCACTGGTGACACGTTTTAACTAGCAACATTCTAGATACTTAAATAAAAGAGACCTAAATATACAAGAAAGGGATTGTGGGGGCAAGGGAATAGGGTACTATCATCTCCAAAAAGCCAGCTATTGGCATTTGAGAAGGCATGGTTTGGTAATTTGATATAGAGCTAGACATGCATATAGGATTATTTCAATTTACTTAATGTCATCACAGCTTCAAAAAAACCTCTTATGCTACCAGCTTACTTAATGTCATTTACAGAAATCTCAGGCAGAAAAAGACGAGGATCAAATGTGGCCTGAAAAGTCTTCTTTGGGAGCAGAGCCAACCTGAGCAGGGTGCAGGGCCTGGGGCAAATCAGGTCTTGTGGGGCCCTGCCCCCACCCCAATCCTGTGTGCCCTGGATGTGAAGAAACCAGCAGCCCCGGGGCGGGTGGTGATGGTGGGTGAGCGAGTGGCCGGACACCAAGCTGGCGGTGGTGGTGCAAAGTCCCCACGGCCACTCCACCCAGCTCTGCAGGGCCCCCCAAAGTGCAGGGCCTGGGGCAGTAGCCCTGATTGCCCCCCACCCCCGGGCAGCCCTGTTTGGGAGAACCCTCCCCACCAGACACCCCACTCCAGGGGTGGAGAGGTACAGTTCGGAGTAACCAGGAAAGGATTTTGCCTGGAAATACCAGCTCAACCCCAGCCCCTTATTTGGTGCTGATTAGTTGTCACACAAACCAGGAGGGGGCGCTCTCAGTTAGCTGGCTGGCATGCAAAAACCAAGCTTTGGGCCAGGCACCATCCTGCCCAGACTTATTGAGTCAGGGAGATGTGTGGCTTCAGGTGACCCAAAGTGGGTTTTGCCCCATCATCCCAGCACAAAATAAGATTATTTTTTGGCACAATGTACGTAGCATGCAGGTATTGAGGGCTGGGTGTCAGGTAGCAGGCTAGCACTCAAAAATGAGCACTGGGTCAAGCTGGAATCTTATTCATAGATTCATAGATTCATAGATGTTAGGGTCGGAAGGGACCTCAATAGATTTCATAGATTTCATAGACATCAGGGCTGGAAGGGACCTCGGAAGATCATCGAGTCCAGCCCCCTGCCCAAAGGGCAGGAAGTCAGCTGGGGTCATAGGATCCCAGCAAGATAAGCATCCAGTTTCATCTTGAAGGTGTTCAATGAAGGCGCTTGAACCACCTCTGGCGGCAGGCTGTTCCAGACCTTGGGGGCTCGGACAGTAAAGAAGTTCTTCCTTATGTCCAGCCTGAAACGATCTTGTAGTAGTTTGTGACCATTCGACCTCGTCATCCCTTGGGGCGCTCTGGTGAACAAACGTTCCCCCAGATACTGGTGGTCACCCCTGATAAACTTGTAGGTGGCCATCAGATCACCCCTGAGCCTG